AGGAAGCGAAGACATTCAAAATAAACCCTAAAATGAACGTTTATGAGAGAGGCCAAAGGTGCTGGACTGGATACCATCCATGATTTTAAAAGGATTGCATAGGACAAGACCAAGTGGGGGGATGGACTGCGAGCCCTGTGTGTCATATAATGGCACACCAGGACATCATGATGATGTTTGATTTGGCAAAAATGTATCATACATCTTTATTTCTGTCATAACTTCTTTTTAATCAGTCTTTTAAGAAACTGATTGTCATTTTTCTGTTCTTCTTTGTAACTATATTACTTTTCAGATGAGATTCTTCACAAAGTTTAACAAGTTTCTTGGGTGGAAAATATGATCAAAGAAAATGGTTTTAGAATGTTTGCTAAAAATCTTTTACTTTTATGCACTGATAACAGAGATCTGAGAATAATGTAGAGCATGTATTTTAAATGAACAACATCTAGGAGGAAACAACAAATGAGCACAAAATATTGCCGGAAAGGTCAACACAAGAAAAAATACACACAGATTTAAATGTCAAGTGTTTATTATTTTCGGTGTCTAAAGCATGTTGATTAAATGTTTAATATTTATTAGGGGTCACTACACCAACAATGTTTTTTTTTTTTTCAATTTACAGTGTTTGATCAATTATTTTAAAGTTGTTTACAAATGACATATATCTTGTGTGTAATCTATCTATTCTATAAATGCCAAACTACAAAAACCAACACATTGAAAAAGGGATATTTTTGTCACAAATTGAAAAAAATGCTGTGTAGTGACCTCTTAAATTTTGGTGTCAGTACCTTTGACAGAGGTTGTGAATGCATTTTCACAGTTCTCTGAAGTATCAGCGTTTGAAGTCAGTAACAGGCTGCATGCACATGCAATAGCATGTATCCACACATTCACACACACAAACACAGACACACTCACACACATGCACATATAATGTTCTTATTTTGTGAATTTTCTCTTCTATTTATATATAACAGAGGCTCCTAAAGTCAATCTGGATAATCTGTTTGGAGCGAAGGAGATTCGGGTTAGAGCTGGAGAACCTATTAACCTGAACCTAGGCATCAGTGGTGCTCCTGATCCTACAGTTGAATGGCAGAAGAATGGAAAACCCCTAGGCAACCGAGTAAGTGGATACTGATCTGTCTAATAGAAAACAATGACTTATTTGTCTTTTTGGGTCTGCATGGCGAAGGGATCAGGGTACTTGCCTTGTACTCATAGGTTTTGGACTTTGTCCTTTGGTTCACTGGTGTAATTTTGGTATTTTCCCATGGGAACTCTCTAAACAGTATTATGGGAGTAAACTTTGAGATAAAAGTAAAATGCGTAAGAATGTGAATACTCGTAGAAACACGAGATATACAAGCAGGGCTCAAACTAAAACGTGCAAACCAGAACAAGGGTTATAAGGTTAGACAAAGGTATAATCAGTTAGTATGTGATTCCCAGCCAGAGAGGTTGTGTTTTGTGTGAATGTGAGGGGTATAGATGAACAGCGTGGAGAAGATTAAATTCGACAAGATGACCACCCAGCCAGAATCCAGTCAAGTTGCCAACTAGCCTGATAGTGGAGCTGAACAGCCAGCGGCCGGAGATGCTTGTGTGAGACCTATACATGTGGCACGATTGAGACGTGAAGATTGCAAAGGTAGAGAACAGGAATAACTGTGAACAGCGGTGAAGAACTGTGTCATTGTAACCTGTTGAATATTTGGATATGATAGAGCGTAGCTGACGGTGACTAGACCAGATTGTCTTCTGTGAGTAATAAACATATAAACTGCGCTTGTATCTCCTCCATAACATCTGTGTGCGTCAATTCATCATGTGTATTAGCCATAGTATAATCCTCTAGGAAACAGCCAGAGCACACTGGGAGAACAATGCCACACTAGTGTAAGTGTTAGAGATCCTAGAGAGTTATCACTGGAGCTTGCAGAGTTTTGTGCTTTCAATGATGATCTCATGGTCATCATTTGTTTTATCACTTTAAAAATGAAACTAGAACATGTTGTGACTACTGGAAAGATCTTTAGAAAAAGAGACAGAGGAAGATACTGTGAGACAATAAAGACAATTCTTGACAGACTGTGTCATTGCTTGAAGGGGTGTCATCACACAAACTGATACATGCTGTTGAAGACTGCAGATTGTAGAGAGGCATGATCTCCTGAACAGTTGGCAAGACACTTGATGATGATGCTTTCATTGGCCAAACAGGCACTCTGGGAAGAGAATATGCATATGGAGTAAAACCTGGTGCAGTGAAGCTGGTCTTTCTGTCATTAAACACTTTCAAGCTTACTTGTTAATCAGATTTTTCTCAAATTAAGCCATGGTACAATTTATGGCTGGCTTTAAAAGTAATTGTGATTTCTCCAAATATATTTCTTTTGTATAAATGGATACACTGTTTTGAATATTTTATATATATATATATATATATATATTTATATTTATACCTTCTATGCAGGCCCAGGTAACCAGTGATGACAAGGAAGCCTTACTTCATATTCCTAAAGCCGAGAGAGGGGACACTGGCAAATATCAGGTCAAAGTTGCCAATTTACATGGTGAAGATACGGCTGAGATTTCTGTGATAGTTTTAGGTAAGGAGCTGCTACAGGTTAAAATATGTTTTTATAATCGACTGCAATGGATGGGTTTTTTTTTAATTTTTAAAATTTTTTAAATTCAGAAACCATGAGTTCTTAACCTTTTGGCTCGGTACTATGTATATCGCAACCCTTCGGCCTTGATTCCATGATAGGTGCCGTAAATCTGGGAGAAATGAGGCTTTTCTGCCTACCCCCGGGAGTAAACCTGGACCACAAGAGTTTGTCACCCGGTCACAGTGATGTTAGGTTTAATCAACTATGCTAGAGAGCCGGGCTTGGAAGGGGGATAAGAGAGAATGATAGATAACAGAGAGACAAAAGCTGCATACACAAAAGAGTTGAATATTGGTAGAACTTGAAGCACAACAAGAATATACTGAAGAGATAATGTACTGGTGGACACAATCCACTTATAATCACCAGCAACTGGCTTCCTACTAGGGGCCTGGTCAAAGAAGCCAAAGTTAATATGCTGAAAACATTTTTATATAAAGCAACATGGATTACTAACAGGTTTGCTGAAGTGACCAAATTTAGACATGCGGAAAACAAAACAACTGACTAATACAACCATACAGCAAATAATGCAGCCATATCCATAGCTGTTTTGTATCCTGTTAAAAGAAAAAAAGTATACATAGTTGTCGGATGGGGCATTATTATTAGTTAGAAAAACCCATAAGACTACAATTGATGACAGACTGCAAAAGAAATTAATTGATATGTTAAGCCCTAAGGTATTCCTGTGTGCAATTTGAACACTTTCACTCATTAAATTACTACGGTTTTGAATATCAAAATTAATGCAAAATTATGTTCCTTTCAGTTGGTATTTTTTTTTAAAATTCAATCATTTTATCCTTTGTAAGATACGTTTTGCTTGCTAATGATCCAGCATTATAATGTCAATTTTCACAATGTTTGCAGACAAACCAGGGCAGCCTGAAGGACCCTTGGAAGCATCAGACGTGACAGCTGATAGCATTAAACTCTCCTGGAAACCTCCAGCTGACAATGGTGGTGCTGAGATTACAGGTACACAGATATCTGTCCCTGTATATGCTGTTTTATTGCCTTATTCTTCTTCATCACCTTGGCTGGCTGTTAACTTTAGTCTTCTTCATCACCTTGGCTGGCTGTTAACTTTAGTCTTGTGCCAGGGATGGAGTGTTAATTGTACATTCAAATCTGACTTAGCTAAGTACAGACTGTTAATACCTTGTTTCTCAGGCTAATGCAATCTGGCTTCGAAGAAAAAGAAGGAGCCCCAGTTCTGGTGTATCAACATGTGTGGTTCAGCACTTTTTCCTCCCATACTATTTTATATATATTTTTTATGCATTGCTCTAACTATAACCAAGATTATCTCTTTTTGTCTTAATCAGTAACCATTTTGCAATTTTGTCTGCTCTTTGTGGTTGTGGAGAAAAAGGTACCAGTGTTTTCTGCAAATTGTCTGTAAAGGAAAGAATAAGTAAAGGAACGAACAAAGAAACTTTATTATCAAGGGGTCCAAAATTGGACACACAGGCCCATCTTAGATCCTGCCCTTTCAAGCATTCCTCTCTCTCGCTACAATTGCATTTCAAATAGAAACATTCTGAGTTGAATCAAGAATTGACATCACAGCACTGGGTTCATTCCCATATGCTGTGATGTCCATTCTTGAGTCAACTCAATTCAACATGTTTCTAGAAACATGGTAATACAGCAGAATACTTAATATAAATAGCAAGTAATACACAAAACAGTGAAGAGGAAGGGAACTTATCCCTCAGCTCTTGTCTTGACATAGAAAGTGTGATAGCTCAGTACTTCATGCCACTATTTCAATAGCTGCCTAAGGACAATCTTTATCATTATTGATCATGTTTTGTTTTTTTCTCAGCAACTGTTACATCATAAAATCGTTTCATAGTCAGTTGATTTTGTGTTTTGTGTTTTGTTTCTAGTTGTTGTTTTGCTGATAAAGGCTAATTGCAACATCCTTTGTTTATTTATTGTAACTGGTTCTGTGAAGCTGAGACTCACTTTGTTTTTCCTATCTTTGTAATCAAATAACACACATTGTGTTAAGTATATTAAAAAACTGGATTTTTAGGGCTATATTCTGGCTAAAAAAAGGGGGGGGGGGCGGTGAAACAGATCCATTTCACCCTAACAAGCATATAGTAAAAGGTGATTAATTAGAATTTGGCTGAAGTTATATATGTTGGATTAAAAAAGTGCAAGTATTGCAGCCTGGTTGTAAACCATGACATAACTCAGGTCCCAGCATGGATAATTTATTGATGAATATTAAAAAAACATGAAACACTACTGTTTAAATCAGCCATAATGAGGTGAAATTTTTCCTTTACTAATTTCCTGATGCTATGTAATTTCCCCATAAATCACAGGTTACATGCTTTATTCACAGGTTATCTTGTCGAAAAGTGTGAAGAAGGCTCTAATCTCTGGGAAAAGGTCCCAGGCATAATTGCCAAGGAATCGATAACTGCTAAAGGTCTAAAGGAAGGCAAGAACTATAAGTTCAGAGTCAAGGCAGAAAACATGTATGGTTTTGGCGAGCCACTGGAGAGTCAGAAGATAACGGCCAAGAATCCTTTTGGTAAGTTTCTAAGAAAAACTATATTTTTATATATGATTTCCTCTCATCGGGAGCCACCGTGGTATAGCGGCTAGATGCTGACCTGCGGATCGGAAAGTCATGGGTTTGATTCCTGACTGGGCCAGACTTTAAAAGAAATAAAATTGTGGTTATTGTTAACAAACCATTGGTAATTTTAGGCCTGTCATATAACATTACTAACTCTTTGAGTCCCAAGGAACGCATCATATGTTCATAGGTTACTACCTAGAAGCCCAATGAACGCATGATGCGCCGATTTTAGTCTCTTTTGACTACCCCTTGGGCCCGTGGTGCTAAACCCTCTGGGACTCAAAGAGTTAAGGATTATGGACAGTCCTTCCACTTTTAGTGACTGAACCTGGACTGCTGTCACAGCAGGCAAGTGCACTAACTACTGTACCACTAATGCTCCTTGCATAAATTTCTAGGTTAGTTAGTTAGTCTTTCCTCTTGTGTCGAGTGCGGCACATAGGGCAGAGGTCATGACTCTCCATGCATGGCGGTTCGTTGCAATCTGTTGTAGGTCTTGGATGTTTGAGTGGCCCATGAGCGAGCCTTCCTGATGATAGTTCTACGTAGGGTTTCCCTTGGTCTTCCACGAGATCTTTTTCCCTGTGGTGTCCAAATGAGGGCTTGGTGAGGAGGTCTTGATTTATCCATTCTAAGGGCGTGGCCGACATAGTTCCAGTGGCGTTTTCGTATAAAATTAGACACATACTCTTGCCTGGATTCTTGCCTTATTTGTGTATTGGTTCGGAAATCTGACCATTTGAAATTTAGTATTCTTCTAAGGCATTTATTTTCAAAACTGTCTAATTTTGTGTCTAGAGTTTTCGTTGATTTCCAGCTCTCACATCCATAGGTTAGTACTGGAATCACACAAGAATTGAAGATCTTGAATTACTAGGTGTAACATGGAAAATCAACTTAGGAATGATGATATCAAGAAAAGGGTTGGTATAGAACCAATACTGAACTTTATCGGTAGACACAGATTAAATGTTTAGGCCATGTAACAAGACTGGCAACAGAAATGGTACCACAGAGAGCAGTGTTATACAGATACAATGGTAACAGAACCCGAGCCTGCCACACCAAAGATGTACTGTAGAAATATAGGAGACACTGAAAACTAATATATACAAAGTGAAGAGAAAAGCCAATTCTAGAAATGTCTTCCTATCTTGATGCTGCAAGGCATTCCAGGAGCAGAGAAAAGAAAAAGAAGAAGAAGTAAGTAATAATAGCCTTGTCTTTTACTCTGAAGCAAAATAACACATCCGGTATATGAATCACCAAACATGTACTGAAATAGGAAACAAATGGATTGAGGAAGCAAGGACCTTCATGAGAAACATTGAACATTTATGAGACAGCCCAAAGGAGCTAGACTGGATTCCACTGATATTGAAAGGATTGCGCAGACTAGAACAGAATGGAGGATTAGGTTTTTTGACTGCTAGCCTCAAGTGACAAATAACTGGACCAGAGGACAATGATTATTAAACGTCATTTAAAAAAAAAAATCCTTATTGCACATGTAGTAAAGGACTCATTTCTTGATATCGATGCATGAAGAATGTGTCTTTTTTTTGGCCAAATAGCACTTATCAGGTGATTGTTCCCCAGGTAGGTTCCAGGCTACTATTTTGGAGGAAAACAAAGTAGATCAATTGCCCCTATTTTTTATTCATTTTAATAACTATAAACCACAGTGGAATCCGGAAGACTAAAAAGAGCAAAAGTATGAAAAGTGCAGTAATTTTATTAACAATAATGTACATGTTGATCTGAGAGACAAAACAGTATGAGAACCTAAATATGTTTATTAAATTTATAAACAATAAGCTACATGAACATGGCAGCATGTGGTAAAAGGTGACTAATCAGAGGTGTTTCTTAAAGTAACAGTGCATCTGTCTGAGAGGGGAGGAACCAACAGTCTGCCTACATTTAAACCAGATCTGTAAAATGGATATACACATAAAACTTAAGTTCTGAAGCAAGACTGAACGACCAGAACTTGTCATCTGAGTTTAATAACTGGAGAAAGCAAAGATGAAGAAGTGGGTAATGTAGTCTTAATCAGGCTGACCACGTTTACTTCAGTTTCCTAGTATTCATATTTAGACTTGGTAGACATGGGAGCCCCAGATCCAATAATAATAATAATATAAAAATCCGCCGTGATGCGAATTTGAATTTACGAGCATCATCATAAGTAATACATAATACTTCTTCAGGCATATTGGACAACATATAGTGCTAAGCCTTTATTTTATAGACCGATCGGCACTCTGTAAGTGATGTGGTCAACATCACGCCGGCTGCCTTTACTTGTCTCTACATTGTAACCATTTAAAACTAGTTTTACCTTGAAGCAAAAGTCATTTTTGAAAATAAAATCTGACCTTGTTCCTGTTTGAACCCATGACCTTTGGATTCAGAGGTGAGCATCTAACAGTTACGCTATAGATGCTCCCTTGTCATCATAAGCACTCACCAAAATGTAGAACTATGCACAAACATTACATATTTCTTGTTAAATAATTATGTACACATGTATTTTTCTATAAATGTACAACAGATACTCCTGACGCGCCTAGAGATTTGGAAATCACCAAGTACGACAGGTTCTCAGTAACACTAAATTGGAAAGAGCCAGTCAGCGATGGTGGAAATCCAATTAAAGGTTTGTAAAGTTATTAGTTCATTTATCAGTGTGGTTTCCAGAACAAATAATATGTTCTGGGGGGGGGGAGGGGGGGGGGGAAGAATAGGTAGCTCCCTCACCCCCCACTTCCACCACTACCACAAGCATGTTATACAAGTCGACTAATTCAATGTGTTTCTGTTGAATCAGATTGCACCTGCCTGAAAGGCAAAGAACCAAACAGTCTTCATACAACTATGCTAGATCTGTAAAATGGATATGCACACAAACTCAGGTTCTGGGGCAAGATTAAAATCCAGAAGTGGATGAATAACAAGGATTTTTACCAGAGTTTACAGCTGGTGAACTTGAAGAATGAAAAAATTATCAGGTATTGAGTGTATTTAGAACTACAAAAGACGTTAAAATGCTCCACATTTGTTTCTAAGTAAATAATAAAGACTGCCATTTTCTTTGTATTTCAGCTAAAAGGATTAATTTGTCTTTACTGTTTGTTTTTACTGTTTATTAACTCTTTGAGTCCCAGAGGGTTTAGCATCCCAGGCCCAAGGAGTAATAAAGAGAGACGTAAAATCGGCGCATCTTGCGTTTACTGGGCTTCTAGGTAGGAACCTATGGAATGTATGATGCGCTCCTTGGGACTCAAAGAGTTAATATCAATTCTGTAGTTCCCTGTGTGGGTTCCTGGGCCCCATTGTAGGGAAAACAAGAATAAACCCACTGCCTACCCAAAACCATGTCAAAAGAGTCGACTCATTGGGAGCTTCGTTCGAAGTTAGAGTGCATCTGCCCGAGAGGCAAGAACCAATAGTCTGCCTACATATGAATCAGATATGTAAAACAGATGCACACACAACACTCAGGCTCTGGAATGGGACTACAGTCCAGAAGTTGACGAACAACCAGAACTTTCAGCCAGAGTTTACAGCCGGTGAACACGAAGAAGAAGAAGAAGTAGTTCTGTAGTTCGCATCTGAGAACATACAGTGAAATATGTAAGGCAGTAAATAGTGCAACATACTGTGTGTAACCTCATTATTTAAGTCTCTTGAATAAAGCAATATTTATGTGACTTAACATAACTTCTTGTCTCTTTATGCATTTTACAAGATTACTAATAACTCCCTTCTCTGTAAGCACAGACATCAAAATATCATTTCTGAATGTTGTAGAGATCGAATGCTGCCACTATATCCTCCTGTCTGTTCAGTTTAGGAACCCTTCATAAACATGAAAGCAAAAGTGGCTGTTTATCTGTTCCTAGATGGTATCTATCCAGACCTCTTGACTGATGAATATGCATTAAGCTGAGTTAAGAACAGACATCATAGCACTCAGAAAGAACATTCTGTTACATACATATATATAATAACACATATATCCTTCCTTCATGCTGTTTATCTTTACATTCTAACTTATGACAGCATAATTTTGTTGTTGTTATTGTTGCTGATTGCCTGAAGAACTCAGACGGGGAAACCCAAAATGAAAACAACTAAGATTTCCTGAATGTTTTTGTTCTTAGGCTATCTGGTTGAAAAGAAGGAGAAAGGCAAAGACTGGACAAAGGCCACAGTGTTTCCAGTACCAGAAACCACTTACAGTGTAATTAAACTGACTGAGGGGGCTGAATATGAATTCCGAGTCATGGCAGTCAATGATGGGGGCCCTGGGAAACCTAGCAAGGTCACACCTAAACACATTGTCAGGGATCCTATATGTGAGTGTCATGTATTGTCTGAGATCCTTTATGTGTATGTCATATATTTTCTGAGATCCTATAATATCAAATGTCTGAAATCTGATATGTGAATGTCATATGTCAGAGAGCATATATTGTCCAGAATCTAATATGAGTGTCATATATTGTCACAGATCCTATATGTGAGTGTCATACATAAATTGTCATAGATCTGATATAGGAGTGTCATATATTGTCAGAGATCCTAAATGTGAGTGCCATATATTGTCATAGATCATATGTGAGTGTCATAAATTGTCTGAGATTGTATATGTCATTGTCATGTACTGTCAGAGATCCAGTATGTTCATGTCATATATTTTCAGAGGTCCTATATGTGAGTATATTATTTTAGATCCTATATGTGAGTATCACATATTGTCAGAGATCATATATGTGAGTTTCATATACTGTCAGAGAGCAAGGGCATTCTCGTCAGGTGGCCAGTTCTGTTGCTCTTTAATGAACCATATGTCTGGTTTCTGGCTCAATCTTTTTCTGATTTCTTCATTTTAAATTTGATCTCTCCCTACTCGAGCAGCCTTTCTGAGACTTCTCTATTGT